TTTACATTGTAATTTAGTTTATTTAAACAAAAAAATAGATTAAGTAAACAAATGAATATTGAAATGCAAAAAATTGTCTTTTGTATATTATTATTATATGTGGGTAACAACTAAGAATTTGATTTGTTTAATGAAACGGTCACCGCAGTCCTTAAATATTTACAAAATCCGCTCACCGTCAACCATTTTAATAGGAGGAAATTGTGTCACAAAATTTATTGAAGGAAGCATTCAATATTCAAATAATTTTAAAATTATATAAGACAAAGTCAAGTTTTATGGATCTGATTATTCTGTGAGGTTTTCGGAGAATGTGATCAATTAAAAATTTTAAAGTATGGAACTAAAATAATATCGTCCAATAAATAAGTAAAAAAAAAAATAGAATAAAAATAATATTCCTTTTCCTATTGGAAATAAATAGAATTTTTACTGTATTTAATTAAAATGTTAATAATTTTGTTATATAATTTATAAATTAATCCATTACCCGTTCACAATAAGATCTTGTGTAAATCTAGCGGATTCTAGGATGCCGGAATGATGCACTATCCGTTAAATCACATGTAATGATGTCATATACCTACGTACCATAGATGCGTTAATTAACAAGTAAATAGTCGTAGTAGTTTGACAGTTTCACGCTAGTTTGCAGCAACATATGACGGAGATTTATCAACTAATTACTACCAATAAAACAAGTACTGATATAGATTTGTCTAATTAGTCAGTTAGTTAGATCAATCTGGAAAATGTTCTCATTGCATGTATTAAGTTCAACTAAGAGATAGTAAAATTTTAGTGTAGAAGGTAATAGTTATAAGAATTAATGATTTATGATTTTGTTGTTCAGAAGAAAGAAAAAACCACTGACTTCAACCGTGACAAAGCTAGTTATTTTGATTTCAAAGCTAAACTGCTGAATCGAGTTTGATTGAAAATCCAAGGACGCTAAGCTGACAGTATAGTCTTTCAAATAAAGAAAGAATTTTCCTCATCGATTAATGGATGACGGAGTTATGAGGTAACAAACATAAAAAATATAATCGAATTCAAAACCTTCTTTATTGAAGTCGGTTGGTAAAATTACAGAAAACTGTATATGTAAGTAAACGTATTGAACAAGTAACGGTTAGTGAAAAGAGATAAAGTTTACCGTATATAATAATTAAAAAAAATACGATGGAAAAATCATAAGAGCTACGAGTACTTATTTTTTGTTATACATATCTTCATTGCCTAGATACAAACACAATCATAAATATCAAGGACTACGAAATTAAAATATTCATAAGGATAATCCAAGTTTCAGTGTGAAAGTATTGGAGTGATTATTTGAACAGAAAAAAAATATAGCATGTGAAGCTGCAGTAATATTAATCTATGAACACGCGTCAATTCTATGTTTTGCTAAAGTAACTGGCTTAAAATATTAAATAATTTCATTATCATATCTAGGTATTTAATATCAATTTAATGTTAAGGTTTTAAAAACATCAAGAAAAAAGTCGTCGATTTATGAATGAAGAAGTCGTGGATTATAATCGATATTCATTGGTAGGTCTATAATTATAATGAATTTTAAGTTACGAGCTTGAATAATTCCATAAATGAGTATTATTTACCAAATCTATTTTATGCTCAATTTTCTTAATTTTACATGACACAATAAAGCATATCGTTAACGTTTAAGTAGCATAACCAATACCCATTAGACATACACACAAACACAAATCTCTTCACTATCCATTATTACACAGCAAATTGCGCATAGAAGTTTAATATGTAGATAGGTTCTTGAAGTCCCTGAGGTATTCATTAAAAAAAGGTTTTTTGAGAAATATATGCGCTTTAATATTACATACATTAGATATGTCAAAACAATATAAATAATTTTTTTCTAATTCAATTTGTAACTTGTTATTAATTTTACATTACAAAATCAACGTTCTTAAATGATCGTGGGCATAAAACAAATGCGCTCTCACGCAATTAACGCAACATTTAGTAAACAATGTAGCAAATCATCAGGTTAATAAGAGCTAAATCCATTTATTCTGTTGATGACAGCTACTATGTACCTGTTGTACTTGTTATGTGTGAAACAAACATGGAACGAGCACTGTTGCGTGTATAATGGATTATATCCAAATAGTGGGATGAAAAAAGAGATAATACAGGCTGTCGGTCTACAATTAAAGCACCACATTAAAGGTAATTTAATTTTAAAGTAGAAAGTAAGATTGAATGAGTACCTTTGTTTCACTAGTGTTTCTGGCGCCATGCAGCTACTCTTGCATGGCTGTTTCGGTTTAAATGGTGGTATATGACATTAAAATTATTGGATACGGAGGGATATAGTGTATTTTATTGGGGTTCATGGTGACGATTACCACTTTCTACTAGATATGCCATCGCCATCAGCTTGTTTAATAATAAATGATAAGAATTATTAATTTAATTATTTGTGGTTATTTTTTGTTTGTATGTTGGTTAATGAAACACAATAAAACGGCTAAATAAATTTATTAATGTATTTCATTTATAAAAACGATTTGAATTTATTTCGTAATTCGATACTATCTGATTACGAGTTATCAAAACTATTACATTATAAACTAGACAAACGTTATTCTAATAATGGAAAGGTTTGTATGAGAAAAGCAAAATGGATTTTTCTCTTCATAAGAACTTTCTCGGACATCAAAAAATTGGACATAAAGGTTTAAACATTTTTAATTTTTGTGCTTAGGAATATCATTTGTGGGTGTTGTAAGAGACGACTATGAGATCTTAATAGTCGACGGATGGACAGCAGCGTCCTTCTTAAAACATCAACCAGAGGGAGACCTTGTACAAAAGTCGATTGCTTGGGTACCTCTGTCCCATTCGTATGTCAACCGTGAAGCAGTTGTTAGCATGGCTGTGTTTCAGTTTGAAGGGTGAGATATGGCGTGAATTTACTGGGTACAGAGGAATAACACCTGAGTCCTCAGGAATAGCAACGCATGGGGGGTATTATGGGCGAAACAGTATACTCTGTTATGACCATGGTACTGCTTATGTCTATAGGCGACGGTTACCACTTTACATCAGGTGGGCCGTCAGCTTGTTTGCCATTCTAAGTTGTATAAAAAAAAAAAATCAAATACTAATTGCGGTTGCACACTCACCTGCCTAGCATGGCAACTACTGGTAAAACTTCCTAAGAAGTGGTCTATGTTCAATAGTGGGTAGTTAACAGCTGTATCATCATCATCAACACATTTAGCGGTTTATTTTTATTTATATAAATATATAGGAACTTTTATATTGGATTGATGAGGGCGAAGCCACGGGTTACAGCTAGTTCACTATACAAATTGGTTAGAATCAATAATCCAAAACTGTGAAAGTGGAAACAATGCAGATGTCTGTTAATGATTGTTTCAAACAATCTAAACAATGTCTTCTTTAAACACGAATTCGAAACAGTGCGAAAATTTAGTGGTTGGTTGGTTAAGTTGGCCGAGAGGTCGCCGATTGAAACCTATTCTATAATTTACCAATTGGACTATTACAGTACATTCTAGACTATTCTTAGAGGTATAAAAATTATAGCTTGTTTCAACAGAACTTAATGATACTATAGTAGTATAAAAAAAGTTTTCTTTTTTTTATACTACTATAGTAGCAAACACGAATTAAATACGAGTACGGCCCGCCTGATGGTAAACGGGGACTTATTGCAGCCTTTTTCGAAACCTCGGCAGAGGTCTTAGTTGAAATTATCACAGAAACAGCCTTTAAATGAAATTAATAAAAACTTTTTTTAATTCACCGATTAGTTTGAATTTTTTACAGTAATTTTTTTTTATAACACAGGGGACAAACGAGCATGCGGCTCACCTTATGGTTACTGACTATTGCCGCCCATGATCATCCGCAACACCAGAGGCATAATATGCTCTTTTTTTGAAGATTATGATGTATTACAGTTAAGCTATATGTTACACGATTATGTCGTCATTTCTGAACTGATTTTAATGTTTCTTTTTACTTTCAAGAGTTTACGCATGTGTTACTATTGTGATATTTGTAGCTGTTTTTTTTATTTGTGGAGCTAAATGGCAGTCGGAGATTGATGGCTAATATGGAATATTGTGACTCTGGTATTAATGATCAATTTCCGAGTGTTAGTAGTCACAATCATGCTAACGGTAGCGGAATTAAACAAAATACTTATAATCAAGTAATCAGTATTACTATATCTTTATCGCAATTAGTTAATCTTTTTTAAAAAAAAAAGTTAATTAGTTATTAGTATTGAATTGAAGTTAAGTCCATTTTTAGATATTTATTTTTACAATAATAATATTATTTTTATCAGTGTGAAGAAAACAATGCGTACTATATTTATTATTGGGATTTCCGTTCAATTGTTTGTCTAATAAAATAGTAATTTGGTCCCGTCTTCTGTATGTTTTCTAAAGTGCATATTCATGTTCGTACGATTAGTATTAGCAGTTAGTAAATATAAATATAGGTATAGATTAAATGGAGCGTACAATACGGTTCACAACATTACACGGTTTGTGGTCATTTTCGATACTTCACAAATTTCAGGCGACAAACGTGCATGGACATAGACACGATCCGATTACCGTCTATGATTGAATAACGGAACATGCTACAAACAACCACAGGGCAAATATGAAATGAAAAATTGCATGGAAATTTAAATAAATGCACTTAGTTACAATCAGACGTGATACGTGCTGTAACGGGATTCAGATTAACTCTAATAAAGATAACTGGATTATTTATATATTTTCCAAAGAGTATTAATATGGAAATGACACCTACATAAAATGTATTAGCATAAATTAATACGATACGAGGAAATAAGAATTTTCTCTTTCGTCTTATCTATCTAATATTATTATCAAATAATGTAACATAAATTTTAATAATTTAAATGTTTATAAATATAATTTATCAAATAGTGCATGCGGGAGATATTTGCACAATCTGCATTTGCATCGCACCTCGTAGGGCGGATGAAGTAGGTGAGCAGTAGCGCGTCGTTCTGCGCTCGCGCAGTCCCGCTTGTAACGTTGCTGCGGCCGCACGCGCTAGCCGCGCCATGAATCGTCCAGTGCTCATAGTCTTCGCGCTCGCCGCCCTCGCAATCGCTGTTGCTGCCGATCCACCGCGACCTCGGCTCATAGATTTCAATCCCTTTGCCTGGCTACCCACCAATCGCAATGGATCCCCATCTATTATGGACTATTTCTTTCCTCCATCCCGTACCCCTAAACAATCCAGCCTTGATCCGCCCGCAGACCGAACACCGCCCCAAATCCACATAACCCAAACTACCCAGGATAACACACCTGCTCCGACCACAACTGAAGAACGTTCTACAACACTTGCGAGGAAAGTTTCCAGTAAAACTAAAGCTACTATTGCCTCGACCGCGACAATACCGCCTAAAACGAAAAAACCTTCTCGCAAACCTACAACGGTTGATACGACAATAGAAACGAAAATTCCACAAACGACCAAAGTACAAACACCAGCGTCAACAACAAAAGTAACTACTGTGCCTCCAACAAATCGACCCACCAAACATTATACGATACGGCCAACTGTTCGCACAACAGAGACACCGACAATTCAAGATACGGAGACGACCAACAGTGATAGCACAGAGACGGTATCCGTGTTCGATACCGCTGGAACGATGACGGTAGATACTAAGGAAACGGTGCCTACGTTGAGTACGGCTGAAGAGTCGAGGTCCACGGATGCCGGCACTGCCAGCACCGTGCCTGTGGAATCCACTACCCCGACGGACAGTACGGCGGCGGAACCCGCCGACAGCCGGGAAGGTTACCTGCCACTGCGCGACAAACCACAGCAGACTCATGTCAAAATCAACGAACAGACTAAGAAAGAGGTCAGTGATTTAATACTAATACTATCTTAAGCGTCGTTTTTCTAAATCGGTTACAGTCTAATAGCCGCAACTTTCCTGTCTTCTATTACCGTATTTTCTCGGCGATTTGAGATTTCTTCTTTTGTACTATTGACCGCATGTAAGTCGTGCGCCCACGATACAATAGGCGTGAGCGTAAGAGCTTTTCCGATATCGCGAATTGTGGACATGTAATCATGCGCGCATAATTTTCCGTTAATGAGACGTTAGAAAGGTTACCCGTGCATACATTAACGTAAATGGATATTCCCACATTAAATACATATGCATTATTTATAACCAACTTAATTAAATAGGCTCTAGTTAAAAAAGTTTATATGTTCCGCTTAGTGATCGTCGGAAAATATTAATACATTAGTCGTGGTTACAATTAATTGAAGGCACATGATACATGCCAATATTTAATATAATAAAAGTAGTTGGTAAAAAAAAAATATATTAGATTAAAAACTTTTACTTTAAATTTTTAGAAATTCGCTGGAATTATATATTCATACGATTGATTACATTTCGTTATTGTACTTTGAGTAAATTGTTATTAATTTTATAGACATTATTTAGATATGAAACTGTATATATACAATATTAAAGAAGTAATTCATCAGATTATATTGTATTTGTACTAAGCTACTGAAGTGACTTTAAATAACGAAGCGGTTTTTGAAAGCAATTTCAATATTAAACTACTCATTCAAATAAATCACTGCAAAATTTATGATACTGGTGACTTAACTTTTGGTGGAATTTTGATTTCAATAGTACCTATTGTATACACATAATCATACCTATTGTTTCCGCAATCTTTAAAATAGCATTCATATGACTCTCTGAGATGGCTGTAATTGAAATTCCAAATCTGTAAGTTATAATGGTTTTTATACTTTACAAGGAGTAGAAATAATGATTAATTTATATTCTATTTTTGTTAAAAAAAGTATGATAATTTTATTATTATGAAAACATTGAGATCGTTGATCAAAATTTTCATAAAGCTCTATAAAAGTACATTTTTATTATATTCAAAAGAATATTAATTATTAGTTAATTAAGACAAAATCTTCGACATAATTCTAGTGGATATAATTCCATTATTTTAAATACGCCTCTGATAGGAAAAAAATTTCAATGGATTGTCATGTCGATTTTGATCATTCTTTTTGCAATCACCATGATTCATTTTTCATAATTACTTATAGACATACAATAGCGAATTTTAATTTTAAAAACAATATGTCTACAAAACATAATGCCAGCTAGTGTATTTCATTTGTATTAAAATATGAATAAGGACGGTGAGATTACTAGTCAATGTTAATTTTGTCACGTTTGAAACCGCTGCTTTTTTGCGGAACAATATGTACTCGTTTTTACTTTACCATAAAGTAATTATGAATGTTCATAAATTTTTTGACTGACGACACAAAAGTTTCTTTAACCATGAAGTTCGGGGTACAAAAAATACATTAGACCTACAAGGCGGCACTTTCCTATCATTAACAGAATTGTGGTCGCCACAGCGGCGGATGTCCGTAAATTTTTTTGAGAAACAAATTTACCTTGGTTAGAGGGGAACCTATTCACAAACTAGACTTTCACTCTTATACAGTCAATCTATCATACGTAATGAACGAGTATTTCTAAAGACGTATGGCCTTTTGTTGTGGTATTAGCTTTGTCACTAATTGGTTTTAAAAATTCATAGATACTCGTAGATACAGATTAAATTATTTTGGGATTATATCAATTATTTATTATTTTGTATATAGAGACATCTAGATCAATATATAAATGTTTCGAGTTTTTAGGATTTTTGGGGAAAAGGATAAATAACGAAGTCTAGAAGCTGCGTAATTTGGTCTATCAATTTGTAGTTCCTATGTGTTGATATACAAATTTACTGGCCAAATTGTAATAAAATTTCATCTTGATAATTTCAAGATGCAATTTTATTACTCTTGTTATAATAACAATCCCACAGAGTTGCTTTGTATATGGAGTTTTCTTCCAGGAATATTGCAAACTATCTTTTTGTCAGCTACTTCGTACGCGTGATTTCAAAAAGTACGAAAACAAAAAGAAGACTACTTCTATTAAAATGAAACGTACACTAGACATTCGGATCAGTTACTCATCAGTTAGTCTTTAGTTAGATCTTTAGGAACACGACTGTAAAAACCACACCCACTTTGATGCAATAGTCTTTGCGTGGAGCCGGATTAACATACAAACAGACAGATAAAATGTTAATGTTATAATAGTATATATAGTATAGATTAAAAAGTATATTAAAATAAGATTAAATTGTAAATTAGACCGGCACTATTGCATCGGTTGATATAACGGATTTCACCAGTTCGGTAAGGTCTACTTCTAGTTATGTCCCTTTCGTTCGTGTTCATTGCTTTTTATTCGCGTGATAAGATGTTACCGTAAGGGTCGCATAAGTGATGCAACTTACCGGTTGTCATTAATCTTCTCATTTACATTAGAGACCTGCACAGATGAGACGGTTCTTGAGATAATTTTAGCGCGAACTTTACTAGTGCCGTAAGGTTTACTTCTAGTTATAACTTGTACTCGCGTTTACTTTTTATGTCGTGTGATAAGATGTTACTGTAAATGTTACGTAAATTATGTAAGTGCTAGTTACTCCACACGACGGGCATTCCTTTGGGTATCTTTTTTATTGATTATAATGCAATGGTAACCTATTGGTATACGTTGGCGGAGCACCAGTGAGGGATGATGATAGGCTAAGTGAAAGCAGGTTAGTTAGCTTATCGTGAAAAATTTATCAAAAAAGAACCATTATGGTTTTCAGGGGGACTGCATGTAGATCGACCTGATAGAATATATCGTAAGTAATGGGGTCGATAATCCTCATTAATAACAAATTCTCCCACTCCCTTGTATCTTTTAGTACGGTTTATGCTATTTCGATCAGATTTTCTTCTAGTTAAACCTCTTCCATTTTTATTTGTTTTTTATATCACAGGATAAGATATTATTGGTAAGATAAGTATAATTAATCTAGCATATTGGATATTACCATTAATAATGCCTTATTTATATATTAAAGGCCTGTGTGGACTTAGGACAATTTTAGCACGTGTTTTAATATTCTAATTAGGGGTATTTGAAGTTAAGGTTTCTTATGGCGACAGTCTATAGGGAAGACTTACGTTCAGAAAGGAGCAATAGAGATACGCCATTTATCATTGACTTTTTATTAGCTCTCTCGAGTGATATCTTATATTTAAGTTACGTTTATCAGCCGTTAACTGTCCACTGTTAAACACATGCCTTTCTGGCAACCGCAGTTAGGCTTTGGCGACGTTTTAAGAGGGACGCTACTGCCCATCCCTCTATTATTAAGTTTCCTTAGTCGCCTTGAATGGGTATCGTAATGCAATTCTAGTTATTCTAACTTGTTGGAAAAATCTCCGCAGACTGTCCTCTATATATGCAGACCCTAATGTTCAAAATGTTTCCAACTAAAACATGATACAAAACTATGTCGTACTGAGACATAATGACATGTTTTGATTTATTACAACATTGAGGCGGCGAAAGGTAATATTCATATGCACATGTCGGACACTCTTCATAATACGAAACAAAGACCTGGGATATGGTATTAATTACCAATGATTTATGGTTGCTTACTACGACACACCGTTGTCAATAAGGCCGTAAATCTATGAGATGTCATTTTCAAGTAATTTTGTAATATATCGGAAATTCTGTAAAAGGTAAAACGAATTAAATATTTATATCTATGGTGATATTTTATTCCCCTTTTTCAACTATACTTTAAATTATTTGGTGAATCTACAGTTATACCTTGAAAATAAGACGTTATATTGCGACACTTGTAATTAGTTTTCTTGACAATAAACGAAACAATGTACATCAAAATAAAAAGTGAAACGAATTAATGTAATTTGCTAAAGAATAAAACGTTATTTGCGAGCAATTCCAAGAACAGTCGTACAATTTCCTTATTCACCAACAGCTTAAGTAGAATCGTGATGAAGATGAAATAAAAGCAAATGTTCTTACCGATCTAGATCCATTGTCATTATCGTGTTAATTTGAAACAAAACGTAACCAAATAGACTTCACTTTCGCAAGACAAGGTAAATATCTTGTAGTTACTAATCGTTTCTAATTAATCAGTACGCATTACTGATAGAAAGTCGATAGTCGGATCTATCGGATGGTCCAAAGAGAAAGGGACGTAGTACTGGGACCGCAGAAGTAGGCTGCCAGTAAACGGAATTGCAACAATGGCCGTTCGTTGGGAAGTCTGCGAATGTTTATTAATGAGATAGAAATTGGAATTCTAATATCCTGATTTAGAAACTGGATATCCTGTGGTATTTAGGATATTCAACAGATAAGAGGATAATTGAATTAATTATCTGTTTGATATCGCACTGAATATTTATTGCGGAAGTAGGATAAATTCTTAAAATGTTATTAGGATTATGTTATAATGCTTATTATACGTGTAATGTACAGTGAAATGTAACAATATACTTGTTTTAATAAAATAATAGGAATCTCCCGTAAAATTACTGTAACAAAGTACGATTGTCCGTGCAAGTGTAAGTTTTTCTTTTTTTAATATTAGTTTGGTTCACCTATTACGAATGACTAACTTCAAAATTAAAATGTTTATAAAAAAACATGTAAATGATAACAAAAAATATATTTTTATCAAAAATAATCCGTAAGAAATTTTTAAAAACTTACATGTGGAACTAAGTATGGGTGTAAAACATGGACAATGACGCAAAAGGAAAGAAAGATGCTCGAGGCATTCGAAATGTGGATATAGAGGAGAATGGTAAAGATAAGCTGGGCAGAAAAAGTAACAAATGAAGAACTCTTGGAAAGGGTAAACGAGAAAAGTATATTAATAAAAACAACAGAGAATAGAAGAGGCAAAATGCTGG